AAACAATCAAAGAAACTTTCATACACAATTTAACCCGAATTTTAATCAAAACAACCGAAGAAAAGACCCAATTTATCTGAAGAGGACACCGTTAAAATAGACGAAACACAGAATATTGAACTTTTTTGATTACGTTAAAAATCATTTAATTTTATTATTTTACTTCTTATTTTCTATAATCTTTGTCTTATTTAAATACTAACTTTATTTTATTTTTATATTTTTTTTTCTTTCAAAAATTGCTGTATAACATCAATTTTTTTTTGTAAAGGGGAGTTGTTACATAAAAAATTCACTCTATATATTATTTAATAGTAAATTCTCTAGAGTTAAATAATGCTTAGTTGCAATTCCTAGAATGGTTATCATTGACCTCTAGGATTGTATTCAGCCAAGTTGCATTTTCTTGTAAATGCAACACTTTTGTCACATTACACCTTTTAGATATTTCTTTTGTCTTACCTATGTTATAAATAGGGGTGACACATTAAAAGTCGGTTAGTTATAACAACTCACCCACTACAAACACATTATACCTCTTAAGTAATAAAATATTTTTTAAAAAACTAATAGTGTTATTCTAGATATAACAACTTATCTAAATACACTCAGTATTTGGTTTTTTAAAAAGATTTATTTTATTTAAAGTACAACTTATCGTATCAAACACAGATTCTAAACTGAATTAACTGAAAGGAAATATAATATAACAGGTGGCATTACACCTAAGGTGGAATGACACAAAACTAATCTAATGCAAATTCAGCAGTTCCAAGGTTCATCCACGAGGTTGCCGACTCAGGGTTATTGACTCTATAACTCTCCCCTTGTTAAAATGAGGCTTCTTGCGGAAGTCGAATATGGCCTTCTTCAGGGGTTGGTTCCGGTGGGGATTTTTCCTTCTTCTTCTTAGGCATCTTCTTGTGGATGATAAAAATAATTGTTACTGCTACTCCAAAATAAAGAATAATTGTCCATGCACTAGGAATATGATACTTAAAATTTTCGTTTATTATAGGTATTGGTCCATTTGAACTGATTTCTTTTAGTTTTAAACTTTTTAAATTTAATTTCATTGGCAACAGATTTATTTTTTCAAAATACAATTTTGGTTTATTTATTATAATTGGTTGTCCAAATGATTTTTCTTGAAAGGTTAATTCGTGATTTTTAAATATTATTTTACATGGTGAATTATTAATTAAAAATATTCCAGATAAGATTTTAATTTCGGTTCCTTTGCAAGCATTGTATTGATAATTTTTCTTCTTGAGGAAATATTGCCAAAAATTGATTTGTTTCTGGTATAATTTCTATGTGATTTTTAGAAATATCTACCTTAACATATTGACATTGGCTAGAATTTCCTTTTAGTAAAATTTCTTTCTCGCATAATTGTTCATTATTGTTTTGTAAACGGCTAGGACATTGGAATTTTTTACCGCGTGTGCAAATATCGTTTAGAGGCTTTATTTGATTTCCGGATTTTAATATATATTTTGTGTTTGGCATTATTATAACAAATTCTGATTCAAATTTAGTGGGAATTGGCAGTAAATAATATAGTTCGAATTCTGTTTCAAAATCAATAGGAATTGATAGAAAATATTGTAGGTATTTGATTTTTTTCTAATTTACAGTTAACCTCTAAGATTGATTCAAAATTTAAAATATTTTCATATTTTACTTCTAATGGTAGCTGAAATTGATAATGAGAAGAAATCTTTTTTAATTCTAAAAATAGCTCATGTGATTTTATGATACTAGGGTGAATGGTTTTCAGTTTACAAAATGTTATGGAATTTTCTACGTTTTCCATTATGTCCAGGATTAAATTATAAATTATCAATAATTCGTTAAATAAGTCTTTTAAGTAAATTACATTTTCAAATTTTGCTTGAAAGTCTACAATGTCTTTAATTTCTAGTATTTTAGATTTGAGATTAATTTCATTTTTTTGGATATCTTGAATTGTTTGATTAAAATTTTCCATATATTCGAAAATTTTTGTAGAAGTACTAGGTTTTGAATTAGTTATTGTTTCGTTTACATTAAGTTCTATTCTAGATAAAGCATTACTATTTGTATTTAAGTTTGGGTATGTTGTTTGTTCGTATTCATCGAACCTTTCAACTTTTGAAATATCAAATCTAAATTTGTCTTTGTAAATTTTATTTCGATTTGGGTACGTTGGTTGTTCGTATTCATCGAACATTTCAACTTTTGAATTATCAAATTTTAATTTGTCTGTAAAAATATTTAAGTCTGGGTATGTTGTTTGTTCGTATTCAGCGAACGTTGCAACTTCTATACTTGGACTTAGGTCAACTTTACAATATGATTCAGATGAATTTAAGATGGTACATTTAGCTGTACTATCTTCTACTTTTGTTAAACATTCAGGAATTTCTAATTTATCAATTTTTGTATACGGTATTATTACGTCACCGTTTTTAACATTACTTATATTTAATTTAATAATTTGTTCTGTTCGTGGTGGCACTACTATACAATTCGTGCACTCACTATTTATCTTAAAATAATTTATTTTGATTTGACTATAAGGGGTAATTAATAAGTCGTTTATTAGGTCAATTTTTGCATTTAATTTTTTAAGATTATCTAACCCTAATAAACAATCAAAATGATTATGAAACTTAAAAATACAATATTCGAAATTAATTGGTTTATTATGTTTAAATATTTTTGAGGATGGAATTACTGTACAATAATTTTCTTGTTTCGTTCCTAAAGCGGTAGAAACTTGGAATGGTTTGCGTATAAGGGATGTTTTAAAATATTTGTCGGCAATTTCTGGCACAACAAAGGATTTTGTACTGGCAGTATCAATAAGAACTCTTAAATTATTTTCTGGGAATATTATGTACGGTAATTCACTCTCACTGTTAGTTAAGTTTAATAATTCGACTTGTTTTATTTGTTTTCCGAGGCATTTTCTTCTAAAAAATCATCATTAATATTTTCGTTGGGACATTCTGTATTATCTAAGTTATGTAGTTCTTCAGAAATAAAATTTTTCCTTTGATTTGCAAAAGAATTTTGGTTTTGAGAATAGTTGCGATTTTGGAAATTTCTTGTAGGTCTAAAGGAATTTGAAGTATTTACACTCATGGGTGTTGGATTTTGGAATTTTTGATTCGGATTAGGTCTGAAAACATTTGTATTAGGACCTCTACTTGTACTAGGTTGATTTCGAGGCACTAAACCTACATTTCTATTTAATTGTTGATAATTTTGAGGTGAACTTGGCATTTCTGGTTGCCAGTTTATTGATTGATTATTTTGAAAATTTTGTCTATTTCTAAGTAAATGATTATTTTGGTAATTATGATTAATATTTTTATATCTTGGACTATAATTACTATTATTATAAGGTCCCATTTCAATTTGAAAGTCATTCGTTAATGTATTCAAAGCAGAATTTAAATCTAAAGGGTTTTTTGTTCGCATTAATGTACCTAATGGTTCTTTTAGTCCGCGTAACAATATTCTGAGAGCCTGATTTCTAAAATAATTCCCTAAAACATTTTGTTCATTTTCGTTAGAACAAGTCATTAATAAGGTTATTTGGAGATTTAAAAGTTGCTGTATTTTATTGAAGAATTGGAAAGGAGAATCGTTACCCTGTTGTAATGCTGAAATTTCTAAGCTTAAGGTATAAATATCTCTTTTATCTGCATATGTATTCAATAAAGCAGCTTTTAAATTTTCCCAATTTCTTATAGTACAAGACGATATATTTTTGGCAGCTTCACCTTTTACTTTCGCTAAAATACTAGACATTAAATACTCATTTTGAAAATCGTTTATATCTACTGTATTATAAAATTTCCTAACTAATTTTTCGCTTACTTCTATAAATCTAGGAAGCAAGGCGGGATCACCATAGAAATCTGGGATCATATCTAAATATTTATCTTTTAATTCTGGAATTGTTGGAGCCATTTTAAATTTATTATTTGAAATTAAAATATTTGAAATGTCTAAATTTGTTTTGTTTAAATTTGAGTCAGAATCTGTATCTGAATCAGAATTGTCTGAACTTTCAGAATTGATAATTAAAGGTTGCTCTCTAAACGACATATAAAACACTTACAGTAAAAGTAGTTTCCACTCCATCTATTCGATTTCCGTCGTCAACCAAGGACTGGACCGGGTAGACTCTTCAATGTTCACTTGAATGTCTTTTCTTAACTCGAATAGCGTTCTTCACGTTAGGCTACTCAATTCACCCAACTGGAAAACTTCTTAAACACGTTTTAAAGTTCAAAATGGTCAAAAAATCGTAGAAACGAACCAGGAATTATGTACATTAAACCCGTTTGACCATCCTACTGACTGCGCCACTTATCTAAATACACTCAGTATTTGGTTTTTTAAAAAGATTTATTTTATTTAAAGTACAACTTATCGTATCAAACACAGATTCTAAACTGAATTAACTGAAAGGAAATATAATATAACAGGTGGCATTACACCTAAGGTGGAATGACACAAAACTAATCTAATGCAAATTCAGCAGTTCCAAGGTTCATCCACGAGGTTGCCGACTCAGGGTTATTGACTCTATAACTTGTATGATAATCGGACAAGTTGAGCTTCAAAGGCAAAATAAGACAGAGAGGGACTTGGAGGATTAGAGCATGACTGAATAATAAAATAGCTCGCATTACATAGTTACAAAACTACCGTAATATTACAGGTTTTTGGTGTTATATTGTTATATTTTCTAGAGATAAATTATTTTGATTTTTTTTTCCTTTATTGGTTTTATAAGAGCCAGACGTAGTCCACATTTTACGTTTCATTTCGTTTTTGCAAAAAAAAAAATAAGTTTTTGAAATTTACTGTGCCTGTATTCAAATTTAACTCATGAGAAACAAACATGTTAAAAATATACAACCAAAACAAATTAATTCTACAAAAAAGCTAGTATATTTCATACTTATTATACAAAAACTTTATTTTTAATTTATTTAATTACTTCTTACGTATTTAAATGGTTTTTTTTATCCAATAGTTGGTTTTAAATTGAAGGCCTTGGTGTAAAAAGGGATGAGTCAATATGTTTTTGAAATTGATATATTCCACTATACAGCTTCTACAAAGCATAAACGCTATCGTTTGCTGTGAGAACGGGACGAAATTTTACTATTACTAAACACGATATAGGTAAGCACTTTTGACTTGTTACCTTCACAAATTTGATGCAAGAACATAATGTCATGATGACTTATACCGCTGTCATTGTTCTAATTTTGTCATTAACGTTAAAATGATTCCGTTCATGCAAATAATCAAATAAATATTTTTTTATATAACAGATTACCCTAGTTCTTACGTTTATGCAAAAAAAACGATATTTCTTTGTGTTGTCTTTTCAAAACATCTAAAAACAAAGACGTTCATCCCCTTCTTCTATCAAGGTATTCAATTCCAAACCCAATTTTCTCTACAGTATTGGATGCATCCCTATTTTAACCTATCATAGAAGTTCCAGATTGAAGTAGGCATCGGTCCATTTGAAAAGCTGTATCTTCTGGATTACTTCTCTGTATTGCACATCTACTGACAACCTGTTGAATAGTTATTCTGTCGACACCAGGAGGCGCCATTGTGTTCGCCATTTGTGATATCGTGTCCATCTGAAGATTGCCGCTGCTATCTTGTATACCCAGTCTTTGGTTAATGCAAAGTAGATGCCTTCTAACAGATGGGTCGTCAGGAATATTGCCCGAACTTATGCCTCCCAGGAGAGCTGGTGATACTCCCGAGGATGACTGACATTGCAGATGAGCTTGCATCAGGCTTGCGAATCGAGGTGGAATCTGAAATGCATTATCAAACAAAAATAAAATACTCTTAATCGGTACCACAGCCATATAAATATTAATTAGTGTAAGAAACAGAACTACAATAATTAAGAATAAGAAAATTATCTATTGCAACAATGTGGCATAATCCTTAAACGACTTAAAGTCTCTACCACTGCAGAAAAATGAAATTATTTTTAACTTTCTTAAAAATTTGTAAAATGTACTGTCTGTTTGTTTCCACATAACTGTTTATTTTGTGTTTCTTCTAGACCTGATGATGGCTATTGGTCGAAACTAGTTGCACTAAACAATAAATTTAGTTTTTCTTTTGTGGTAAAGACTTTGAGTTTCCCTCTATCCAAAACTACAATTTAATTAACATAAAAAACAAGCGGGGTAACTTTAATTGGAAATTATTTTACATTTCTGCAAGATATCTACAATTTCTTTTCGGCATCAACGGTGCGTCGCGTCGGGAGAAACTGAAGAAGAACAACAAATAACACCACCAAGTCTGTCATTCACGAGATAGTCATGCCAGTCCTGGAAAGATATTTACAATACTCTTAAATCAATCTGAAATGACAGTTCAGGGGAGGCGATTACGAAAGTAGAGGTAACAGGAATAATCAGGTGAATGGCCAGATTTGAAACTGAGTTTATAACTATTTTTTGGAAAAGTATTCTGAATCGTATTAATCTAGTCATTAAAAAACTACAACAGGAAGCTGCAGATATTGGTTTGGTAATGGATTTGCACAATTCCTCAATTTCATTCATTTCATCTTCCCTTTTATGTATGAAGAGGAGGACAATGTGCTGATTGGTAAGCAAAACTACACTACAAGGGAAAAGCGAACTAGAAAGAGAAAGCGACGAAAAAAATAGGAAAACATAAAAATGTGCTTTTGAAATTAAATTAAAAAAATCATCACTTTATTGAATTATATTTTATTATTTTTAGATCTGCTAAGCAAGTATATGGAGATAATGCGATTTTCCGTGAATACCTTGAGAGAAGAAGATATTTGCACAGTAAACGGAATAATTACAGCTGAACATAAAGTATTTTGGATTGCTTCTTCCGCATTTGAAGTAAATAATGAGGTAGAAATACCAGAAGTTGAATTTGATAATGAATCTTCAGAGGACATTTTAATTTGTACAACTGCATTCTGGAAGGAAGCTAGGTATTTTTAAATGTTTAATTTCAAGTTATTGTTGGAGCTTGTATATATTTTTATTATTTGTAAATAAAGTATTTTTTACTTCGTTTATCTTATTCAGGTACTTTTATTTTTTAATAATAAACAAATTTTTCATATTTTACATTTTTGTTTGTACACAATTATTAAAATCTCTGAAATGTGATAAATTAATAAAAAAAAAACAGAAATACAATTAAATAGTTTATTAAATTATGTGTGTAAACATAGTAACCTAGTTAAAAGTGTATACAAATCGCTCTTCCTAAATGATCAAAATTCGTTGGTAATAAAGTGCTTAAATAATTTAAAATGTGGCTTGCTTTTAATAGTTACTACAACAGATGTGATCCCTAAACTGTGAGTAAAAACAATTAGTATTTTGGCCGGGTTCAAATGCTGCTACTAGTTTTTGTCTTGGCGATTAAGATTTTAAAATTGATAAACTAAATAAACATTCTGCCTAAACGTGCGTATATTCTTTTCAAATTAAATACGTTTACACAGAAATAAATTTGAAAAAGTTTATATTTGGAAAAACAGATATGAGTGAGGCTGTTATTAAAAAGCTTTTAGAAGTTAATTGATGTAATGGAAAAAAACAGAACCGAATTAAAGAATTTATTAGGTACCTGTGAGGCGAAACTTCAAATGTCCATTGAATTGGAGAGTAAGAAAATAAAAGATCTGACGAATGAAAATGTTTACTTGAAAAGTAGAGTTGAAGACTTGGAAAGACTTCAGGAGAAAAATCACATAATTATTTTTGTAGTTAATAGACCATATAAAGGTATAACTATTGAATTCATTATTACATAAAAAAATTGGGCGACATTAATTTAGTTGAAGCTGACGTAGGTAATTTTTTCCCACTTGGAAAGGAAGCTACGGCTCCTTTAAAAATCGAATTCACTAATTTTATTGAAAAGAAAGTAATTTTGAAAAATTCCAAAAAATTAAAAAAATAGTAGAATCTCAATTGCAAGAGACCTGACAAATATTCAATGAGCTGAGTATAAACAGCTGAAAGAACATCTATTAAAATTGAAACAAGAAGGCAAAGACTGTAAAGAGTGCTTTATAAGAGGCAATAAATTGGTTCCTAGGGGATAATACTAATAATGGAATACCCTCTACAATTTATGTATTAATTATTTTGGTAACTGCTGTATTCGTAACTTTTTCTACTACTTTTTTTAATTCACTAAAGAATATTATAGAAAAACGGAATTTGATTTTAATAAATTATTCCTTGAACTTCAGAACGTTAACAAATCTGTCAATTTTGTTTGAATTTTAAAGTTCATAACATGCATTAAGGAAAATAATTAATATGTGGCTCAGCCCACAAAATTAAGCATTAAGCATTACCTAAGGTTCTGGTGTTTATTATTATAAACATTAGGTAGACAGTCCGGATATTATATCCGGAATACTGATTAAAAACAATAATGTCGTATACAATTGTTTATTTCTACTTAACTGCTTATTTTATCAAATTGTAACAGAATTTTGTACATTCTGTAGAATACGATGTTTAGAGGGGTTCCAATATCTAAACATAAGTTATCAAAATATAATATGTATAATTTGTAAAGAAGGAGTGAAGACAATAAAATAAAAAATCTAGACAACTGCAAGTTATACTTCCGCAATAGTGTTCCGTATCGCAGTTGTTTTAAAATAAGTATAGCTGCTACGTTGACAGATTTAGGCCAAGTGCTTTGTAAAAAACAGTGTCCAACAAAATGAAATCTTGGTAATTTTCGGTCAATTCACACCGTATTCTCAACGTTTGTGATATTCTTCAGATTTTTCTAAGCGTTAATTTTGGACAAGGTACCTAGGGATCAGCAATTTTTTAACATTTTTTCTAAAAAGTGTTAAAAGAAAATTAATATACAATCGAACGTATTATACTTTTTTGAAATCATTCTTTAAGGAGATTTGATTTGATACGACGGTATCACATTTTTTTTATAATTGACAATTTATCCCATTTTCAAAATAGAACTTAAGGTAAATAAGTTTCCTTTAATACACGAGTATATCTTGTTTCCAACATGAAGATCAGGACCATGAAAACTCCAACAACCATTTACGTCCGCAACTCAGGCAGTACATATCCAAAATCATCCTATACAACCAACACAACTTCGTGGTAACACCAATACGTTGTAAGTCATGTTTTGGAAAGTTTTTGAGTAGCAACAAAAAACGGTACCAATAACTCATGACAAACGATCAATTGCTTTTTAACCTAAACCTTTTTCTGACGCACAACATATTGCGTGTACCATGACGACAAGCAGATTTTCCCAAACTTCCATTTGCAAAATTATTTATTAAAGGCAAATATTTAAACATTTCAATGATGTTCTATTAGAAGTTTTATCTTAGTAACGGTTTTTATTCCTAAGAATTTATTATTTTTTGTCTCAAAAGAAAACTTTAAATAGTCGAGCTTATTTTGTGACGATTTAACCTAAATCACCTTATTCAAAATGCTTGGGAGAGGTATTGCATATTTCATAATATATAGAATTAAAAGAAAACAGTTTCAAAGATATTTTAATTAAACCAGTGAAAGGGCGACATCTTTAAATAGTTTTAGCCCCTTTAGCAAATATATTTAGATAACGTAATTTAGGTTTATATTCTAAGAAAAATGTAAGCATATATTATAATATGGGAATATACCTCATGGTCGCCGCGGTCAGTTTTACCCAAATTTAATCCTTTCGCTATTCGAAAGGTATAGGCCACTTGGTCTCCAAACCTGGATTAAGGGTTCCAAGAAAATTATGGGGTTATTTAATTACTCTAATTATAATATCGGTTTGTGACCTGTCGAGAACTAAAATAAAAATATTTTTCATCAGTTAATTGTCTGCATTCTTACTGAAAAGATTAATTTTTTTATTTTAAAAGTGATTCTCATCTTATTCATTATTCCATAAAAGAAGTTTTGAGTTTGTGTTGCAATGGAGTCGATGTTAAGTGTAAAAGGAAAAAAGTTGTTAATTGTAAAAAAATATACATTTGGAAAAGACAAGGAAACAAAGTTAGGTGTATCATATAAGTGTACTCGTCGTGGGTGTAAAGCGACTATTGGAGTGGACGATTCGGAAACTGTCTTATTGAAATCTAAGAGTGAACACAATCATCCACCATCGGACCATTTAGATGTAAAAAAACTTCAAAACGGATTGAAAAGAAAGGCAACAGAAGATATTTGCGTTAAACCCAGTAAGTTAATTAATAACGGAATCCGAGGGGAAGGAAATACTTTTAATGTATCCACTACGGATGTTGACCTCATCAGACGAAGCATATACAGGACAAGAAGAAGTATATTGCCACCTTTGCCAAAGTGTATCAGTGATGTTCATAGTGTACTGAAAGCAATACAATGTGTTACAAATAAGGGTGAACAATTTTTATTATTTAACAATGAATATTCACAAATTATTTTATTTTCATGTGATTCAAATTTAAAATACTTGTGTTCTCGTGATAGTATTTATTGCGACGGCACATTTAATTATTGCCCTAAATTTTTTTTACAATTTTTCACTATACATGCTGTTGATAACGGACACTTCATACCATTGGCATTTTTTGTTTTACCAGATAAAAGAGCAAGTACCTATGCAACTGCATTTAAATTATTAAAAGATTACTGTTATAATAATTTAAATTTAGATTGGAAGCTGTGTAAAGTTATTTGCGATTTTGAGAAAGCCATACACACTGGTATTATACAGATTTGGCCTGATATCTTAATTATTGGATGTAGATTTCATT